GTCTAGGAAAGAACAGTGTTAAGAAGGATATAGAAACCAAAACAGAGTCAAGAAATTTCAGACAGTAACTTGAATGTGAGATTGTAACTCCGTATCAAGTTATCATCAGGCCCGAAGGGGACACAGAAGAAGTAAAGAGTCTGCTCTCCTCTTGTGGTCTTTGCTGGGCTTCCCTAATAGCACTTTAGGTAACAGACATACATCCTTGTTTTCTGGCATCTGCTCACACTAGAAATGCTGAAAATGGACCAATTCACCTGTTAGTACCCACACTGTGACTAGTGTCATGAGCACCCTTTGTGGATCTCATTATCCTTGCTTCAGACAAAATCAAGTCTGAAAACTGAGTGAGAAAAGATTTAAGGCAGATTTTAGGATATTACTGCTGTTTAGGTAAGAGTTAAAAGAAAAATGTCTTAAAAAAAAGAAAAGAAAAACGTCTTCTTCAAATTTACTGTAAAAAAAAATGCTAAATAAATACTAACTTATGTTATAACAGTGGCACAGTATACAGCACAGTAATTGCAAGGCCAATCCTACTATTACAATATGCCAAAGGAAAACTTGAAAATACACATCGGATCAAACCAGATGCAAAGCACATCAACACAACAAAAAATAAATGACGTTACTATAGAGTCATCCTTCAAGGATTACAGAATTTAAATACTAAAAAGGAGAATCCAACTCCTTTCTTTTATAATAGCAAAGCTCAGCAATTCCACTCCTGGATATATGCCCAAAAGGACTGAAGCAGGAATACAAACAGATAGTTGTACACCAATGTTTACTGCAGCTTTATTCACCATAGCTAAAAGGAAGCAACAACCCAAATGTCCATCACAGATAAATGGGTAAACAAAACGTGGCATATACATACAATGGATTATTCAGCCAAAAAGAGAAATGAAGTTCTGATACACCCTGCGATATGGATGAACTTTGAAAACATACTGAGTGAAGTAAGTCAGACACAAATGGACAAATATTGCATGATTTCATTTATGTGAAATATCTAGAATAGACAAATGCATAGAGACAGGAAGTAGATTAGTGGTTACTATGGGCTAGGAGAGAGAGAAATGGGGAGTTTCTGCTTAATGGGTATAGAGTTTCTGTTTGAGGTGATGAAAACGTTTTGAAAACGAGTAGTGGTGATGGTTATACAACATTTTAAGTATGATTAATGCTGCTGGAATGTATACTAGAAAATGGTTAAAATGGGAAATTTCATGTTGTGTATATTTTACACAATAGAAAATTGTTGGAAAACAATTTGGCAGATGTATTTGGAACTAAGTGTTAATAGAAAGAATAAAAATTACCCAAACATCAAAAAAATAAAGCTCGGAGGATCCAAGACTCACCTAAAGTCACATGTAAAATTTTGGACTGCCCCCTAAGGAATCTGCAAATAAGATTTAGAAGAAACCGCAAAACCAGGACCATAATGAAAATTTACAGAAAAATTCTATCATTACCTTTAGCTTCTGAACACACAGCCAAAAATCCATCTTCCGTCATGGCTTTAAACAAAGGTCTGACTCCATAGGTATCTCTGCCCAGGAAAACTTTCTTATTAGCAGTATCCAGTAAAATAAAAGCAAACACCCCATCCAACATACAGACTGTCTGCTCAATTCCACCTTTGTCATAAAGATGAAGGATTATCTCACCATCCACTTTGGTCTGGTAATCAAATCCAAACTGGCATTGCATCTTAAAGAAACAATAACAAAATAAAAATATTAGAATCCTCGTAAATTCGCTAATAATTGTTTATTGCAAAGTTGCTTCGACACTTCTATGCTCTATAATCATTTCATACACTTTAGTAATTTAGAAGAACCATGGCATTATCAAAAGACAGCCTAT